AGGAGCTTGAGGCTGACATTGAGCTCAACACTTTCTTGAACCTTCGTTGGGTCATCGATCGATTTCAGAGGGATATCAATGATGTCGATGATCTGAGGATTATGTTGCTCCGAAAACTTTAAAAACAAGGTTTCAACTCTAAGATTACGAGCATGCACATCCCGGCCGACGAGGACGAGCGGGAGTACTATGAGTGGGTGCTGAACCAAGCTGAGGCACAATCAGTTAACCCAGACCTCCCTCCTCTTAGCGAAGACAGGCAGGCTGTCCTCCAAAAGGCTTATGTCGATATGGTCCTCGAGGGCCAGAAGGAAAAAAAGGCTGAGCTCGTGGAGATATATATTGGTACTCTGGTCGACGTGACGGTTGGGCAGCACCTCGATGACATGACTGCGGAGGAAATCAAGGTGGTCGTGATCAAATACTCGGAAGACATGGCAGTGACTGCCGTCGACAAGGCCGTCGAGGGGCCTGCGGCCGAAACTGTCGTTGGAGAAGAGGGGGTTGAAGTGCATATGACCGCACCCTTTGAGGACGCCGAGCTGACACCCAAGGCAATCGCGTCGGCCGTTGTTGCTAGGGAAGTCGCGACTCTGGAGAGACTTGGGGAGGAGGCCGTCGAGAAGCCATATGAGAAGGCAGTGGATGCTCCTTGATTTGCACTTATCCGCTTTTGCTTTTATTTGTTTTTGTTTGTGTTTGTTCATCAGACATGTTTCCGCTTTTGATGTTGGGATGTTCTTTTGGTGTTTGAATAGGTGAATGTTCGTTTCCGTCTGGCATCTTCTTTACGATTGATTTTGTTTTTCAATTTTCCTTCAAATGTCCCGAACTCGAGGCTAAAGGTTGTTTAAAGAAATGACTCGCATTTGCAGTCTTTATTTGAAATAACTCAAACAGTTAAACTCGACCAAGGGGATTGTGATTTGAATTAAACTTTCGAAAGAAATTGACTTTGACATGGCTGATTAGAACAACTCTCAAAAATTTTAAAGTGGAATCACTGCGATCTTAGAGTAGTTTGAACGAGACGCTGCCAGGATCTAATTGGCCTCTGTAAATGCCGACCGTCGCGAGGTCGGGATAATCCTGAGTCGACATGTGCCATTGCAAAGGTTTAAAAGGAAATTTATTTTATAAAGTTCAATCACCTCGAAAACTCTTGATATCATTAAAATCGAGAAAGAGAGTTAGCGTTGAGAAAGATTTATACCTGCTTAGCCCCTTTTTGAGTTCAAGAACAAGTTTGGTTAACTTTCTGACACACTTGGTCACCCCAGCCGGTAATGTCTTATTATCTATGCCCTACCAGTGTGGGTCCAATCCCAGAAAAGAGTTTGGTCAACTTTTTGACACATATGGTCTCCCCAGTCGGTAAGGTCTTATAGTTTATGCCCTACCGGTGTGGGTCTAAACCCAGAAAAGAGTTTGGTTAACTTTTTGACATATCCCCAACCGGTAAGGTCTTTTTTTTTATGCCCTACCAGTGTGGGTCCAAACCCCAAAAAGAGTTCGTTAACTTTTTTACACGTATGGTCTCCCCAGCCGATAACGTCTTATTGTCTATGCCTTACCAGTGTGTGTCCAAACCCAGAAAAGAGTTTCGTTAACTTTCTTGAAATAATTGCAGATCCGACGTAGTGGGACTCCGAATTAAGGGATACGCATTTACGAAGTCGGTGGTATATATTTTTTGTAATCCCGTTATGCGTATCACGCTTATTGATAGAACTTTTTGATGTAGACGGTGTTCCAAGGATATCGGTTCCAAGGATATCGGTGAGGAGTGTCGTCTAAGTACTCGAGTCGGGAAGCTCCATTTCAAAGTGCTTGACTTATCGTGAAGGGACCCTCCCACTTCGGTTTTAGGAGTTCTGGGTCTGGTTCCGTTACCCTCTTGAGGACTAAATCCCCAACTCAGTATGTTCGTTGCTTCAACCTCGCGTTAACGTATTTATCCCTTTGTTTGCTTGTAAGCAACGTTCTTGAGTTTGGCACTTGTGCGCAATTCGTCGATTAAGTCAAGATTTGCCCTTAGGTTTGCTGCGTTTGATTCCTCATCAAAATTAAGGACCCGATACATCGGGGAACCGAGTTCGACTGCGACCATCGCCTCTGACATGTAAGCTAGTGAGAATGGCGTTTCCCCAGTTGAGGACCGAGTTGTTGCCTGGTACGCCCATAGGACATGGGATAACTCTTCGGGCCAGGCTCCCTTAGCCTCATTAAATCGGAGCTTTAGGCCATTTTTTATTAACTTGTTTACGACTTCGACTTGACCATTAAATTGTGGATGATATGGGGTAGAGAAGAAATGTTTGATCCCGTACTTGTCGTAAAATTCTTCGAGCTTTTTTCCTTCAAACTGACGGCCGTTGTCGGTTATGATGGAATTAGGCACCCCAAATCGGCACACTATTAATCTTTAGATGAAATCGATCACCTTCTGCTCAGTGATTGTGTCCAGCGATTCTGCTTCTGCCCATTTGGTGAAGTAGTCCACCACCACGATGACAAACTTTACTCCTCCTTTGCCAGTCTGTAAAGGTCCAATAAAGTCGATCCCCAGCCTTGCAAAATGCCAGGGACTGAAGACCGACTTTAGCGGTTCGGGAGATTGGTTGATGTTGGGCATGAAGATTTGGCATTTGTTGCATTTTCTTACCCAATTCGCGGCATCTCTCTTCAATGTCGGCCAGTAGTAGCCTTGTCGCAGGACTTTATACGCCAGCGCGTGTGCTCTTGAGTGACTTCCACATATTCCGTCGTAGATTTCTTCTAAAACGAACAATGACACTTGTTCAGGTAAAGATTTTAGTAGCGGTACAGAGTATCCTCTTTTATAAAGTGTTCTGTTATCTAGAGTGAACCGAGTTGCCCAAGTTCGCAATGATCTTGCTTCTTTGGGATCCTGCGGTAAGGCCCTAGTTTCCAAATATGCAATTATGGGGTCCATCAAGGTTGGTATTTTTGCGCCAAAGCTTAACTCGTCATTCGCCACTTGATTTATTGAGGTTGACGGTTGTTCTTGTCGGCCGATTTCGACGTACTCCACGCTTTCCATTCTGATGCTTGATGCAAGGTGTGGTAGAGCGTGTGCCTGGACATTCGAAGTTCACAGGATGTGTTCTGCTTTTGTTTTGAACTTGGAAAGTTTTCCCTTTACTAATGCCAGATACGGCATCAAACGAAGTTCTTTGACTTCGAAAGTGTCGAGATATGGGTCAAGTTCATTGATTCTATCAAGGGCCTTCTGGCAATCCTCGGTCCATTTGAATTGCTTCCCTTTCCTTATCGCATCAAAGAACGGCTTACACCTATCGGTCGACTTTGAGATAAACCGACTTAATGTTGCGAGTCGACCAGTCAATCGCTGCACTCCTTTGATTGAAGTCAGTGGCTTCAAATTGAGAACAAACTTAATCTTACTGGGGTTTGCGTCTACGCCCCTCTAACTGACCATATAACCTAAAAATTTACCATATTCTACCCCAAAAGTACATTTCTTCATATTTAACACCATGGAATAATCACACAAAATATTGAACATTTCATTCAAATGATTTACATGATCAGGAGCGTGTACTGATTTTACAAGCATATCGTCTACGTACACCTCCATTTTCCGTCCTATCAGGCTAGAAAACATTTTGTTGACCAACCTTTGATAGGTGGTCCCGGCATTCTTCAATCCAAATGGCATCATTGTGTAGAAGTAGAGGCCTCACGCCGAGTAGAAAGAAGTATGCTCCACCTCGTCGGGGTCCATCGGGATTTTATTATATCTGGAATATGCATCTATAAAGCTTATAAGTTCGTGACCAGACGTCGCATCAACCATATAATCAATGTGTGGCAATGGATAACTGTCCTTCGGGCATGCCTTGTTGAGATCAGAAAAATCAATACAAAGACGCCACGAACCATTATTCTTTTTACCAAAACCGGGTTCGATACCCACGTCGGGTATTTTGCCTCATTGACAAATCTGCTATCGACGAGCTTTCTGACTTCTTTCTCCAAGGCTTGTTGTCTATCAGGACCGAGCTTCCTCCATTTTTGTATGACCTGCTTAATAGTTTTGTCGAGATTCAGCCAGTGACAGGCTACCTTCGGGTCGATTCCATTCATGTCCTCATGCCTCCATGCAAAAACATCAGGATTCGCACGGAAGAACTGGATTAGCTCGATTGTAATAGATTCTCGTAGGCTCGCACCAATCTGGAGAGACTAGCTGCATTTCAGTTCGTCGATGTAAATGACCTCTACTTCTTCAATGGGTTCAACTCGACGACCCGTTCGAGTCCCAACGACCCAAATCTAGTTGAGGAGGCCTAGTCTGGCTGCCCAACGGACTCTGCGGTAAAAACAAAAGTTTTCAACACACATAAATCACAAAATATACAAATAAAAACAACATAATTAAAGACAAAATTTATATACCAATTTATTCGAAATAAAAATGAATAAAAAAATATATTTGATGTAGAGTAAAATGTAGAGATAAGGATTGGAGACGAATGTTTGACTCTATTCTAGAGTATAGTAAAGTCCATGCTAGAGTAGAGATAAGGGCTGGAGATGGCCTAAATTGCCAATTAGCTCTAATGGATGCAAATTTAACAATTAAAAAAATGTTCAATTTTAAACAGATCAATTAAAAATAATTGAGGAAATTACATCCTCCACTACACATTAACATTTTTATTACACATTTAAAACTCATATATATTTATTTGCAAATTAACTAAAATTATGATTTTTATTTACAAACATACTAGACTATTGATTAACAGGTAATTATTTTTAATTATGGTAAAAATAAATTTAATGGGATTCTCTCTCTCCCTCTCTCTCATCATTTTCTTCTTCTACAGATCCGCCGATGTTCTCCTCCCCAGTGACGATACGCTTCATAAATTCGCACAATTTCATCCGTGCTCAAGGGCAAAATGACCCCACCATTAAAAACCCTAAGTTTTTCCTCTCTCTCCTTCACCATGGCTCGGAATCGATCGAGGATTAGGGGCGGCAGTGGCTTCATCCCAACACTATCGCCATGGATTTGCAGTGTTTATTTTCGTTATCATTTTATCTTTTTTCCTGATTTGAATGTGATGCAAAGGGGGTCCCACGAGAGAGCTATTGACGGATTACGAAAACTTCAAGTCTGGTAATTTCGTTTTCGTTTTCCTCCATTGTTGTTGTTTGGTTCGATAATATTAAGATTCAAGTCTGGTATTTTTTTTTTCTTGTTTACTAATTACCAGGCATTTGGAGAACCAGAAGAAAAGAAAAAGAAACTGACGTTTGTGAAATATTTCATTAGATTTCTTCTGGCAACAAGAGATTTCCTCTTCTGTATGCAGTATCTCATGAGCATCCCTATTTCCAATTCTTGTATTAATTAGATTATTCATCAAATCGGAAGAGAAAACACCTAAAAATATTTCAGTTTTTCCTCCTCTTATTTGCTTTTCATTGATTCTATTTCTTTCTATTGAAATTCACACCGTTCAGTAAGGTATCTTTTGCGGGTTGTGGGGCAAGCTCAAGCTTCTCGACTGGAAAGCGCCGGTATATTGATCAAGATAGCCAGCTGGATAATTGTCCTCGTGAAGTCGCCTCAGGTTAATTTCCTAATTTTTCTTCTATTTTTCTTTTTCCTTTTTCAAGATAATGATGTTGATTTGAAATTGAAAATATGCAGAACGGAAGGCAGCCAAGTCTTTTTAACAACCAATTCGGAGGATAAACGTGAACGGACGCCGGCGGTGGTTCACGGCGATTGCAAACCTCGCGTGTTTGGTGACTCGTGGATGGAGATCCTCGGCGATGGCTGCGTGTGTCGTAGATGTTAACTAGTTCAAGTTTGAAATTGAAATTAGCGAAGACGAAGACGAAGAGGCTAAGCAATGTCAAAACACCCGAGGCCCTGAAGAAGAAGAAAATCATGACATCTTTTTTGAGAATTTTTTCGTTTGATTTATTTTGGAGTATATGTTCAGTATATCTATAGTATATGTATAATATATGTTTACGTAGTATATGTAGTATATGTGGTGTATATAGGGAGTGTATGTTCAGTATATTAAAAGATTTTTTTTTGTAAATTGTTCAGTATATGTAGTGTGTTTTTGTCAGAAGGCTGAGCTCGATTTGTTTTGTTTATCTTATGTTCTATTAGATTCTCCTAGTAGTACACAAGGGATGAGTTTTGTGGTCAGTGTACTCATCAAGGTTTTTGCTTCAAATGGGTTTCTTGAAAATTCAATGGATGCGTTTGCACATGCTAGAAGAGTTGGCTATGAACCGGGAATACGCTCGTGCAATTTCTTGCTTAAATGCTTGGCAGAAGCCAATGAAAGGGAGATCCTTTTTTTGTGGTATATTTGCGTATCTTTTCTTAAGAAAAAGATCAATTGCACCTCTATTGCTTGTGCTGTGTTGTGGTATATAAACAGTATATGATGAGTATATGTACAATATATGTTAAATATATAGTTTTTTTAATATGTTTTGACGGAAAACTTCTCAGAGGATAATCGCCGAACATTTGGTGTGCTTGATTTGTTGATAGATAGTTCTATTTTGTACATATTACGGGTATACGTTGTGGGTATATAGAGTATATTTTCAGTATATGTTTCGATATGAAAATTTGTATGTTTTCGGGTATGAAAATTATGTACATGTTTTATATGTTACCATAAGATATGAAAATTTACATGTCGCGGGTATATACCAAAGTTGTACAATATACATATACATAAAATATACTTTAAATATACACTCGAATTTCAATAATTTCTCAAAATCGATTTCAAAACCCACATATACATAAAATATACATAAGATATACATAAAACATAAAGTCCAGTTGGTCATCTTTTCTTTCTTTTTCGTCGTATTTTTTTTTCTTTTAACATCTTGACTTCCGAGGGCATGTGGCTGGAAAAACCCGTGCCTTGGAACATGGCCATTGTCGCACAAGAAGCAGACGCACCTATCTTTGCTGAGGGCTGCAAAATCACGTAAATATACCTCCATAAACGCAATAATTCGAGAAACATGGGTATTCTATAGTTATTGTAGATTAATAATCGCCCATGAATCTACTGTTTCTACAGTATATGTTTCATGAATTTTTCTTGCTGGAAACTCTGATTGATCCCCTTTCAGTTTTTTTTTTTTCCCAAATACCTAGCCGGGGACGAAGCCCCATCACGGCTGTCCTCAATCGTATTGTAATCGTTCAGAAACGGCGTCGCCCGGCCGTCGATCCGGTTTGCCGTCGAATAGAACATCCGAGAAGCCTGATTTCCCAATTTTTCCTCGAAAAAGTTGAAGTGCAGATTCTCGTTCACGACGTCCCAGTGGATGAACTACCCCATGTAACGGCCCACCACATTTAACTTGGTCTTAGATGCATTTCAAATGAAGATTGATATTTTCTGTTTTTTTTTTTTTTCTGGTAACTACACGGAAATCACACAAAAGATGTGGAATGAAGGACGTCACAATGCTAACTGATATTTAGGCAATCCCGTAATTATTTTTGGTCTATTAGGTAGATACCAAATTATTTATTATTGAATGGTAATCACGAAATTTTTTTAATTTCGTGTAGTATGTATAAATACTTCCCAATTATTTTCCAAGAAGAGATGCAACCACGCAGCCAGGGAAGGGATTATTTTGTAAGGAAAAGCCGAGAGAAAACGAAGGAACAGAAAAGAGTGCCGCACGGGAAAACACGGAAAGACAAGAGGAACCCGACGAATTGCGGAGGGAGACCACACCCGTACACGAGAAGGATAATTAAAATCTTCTCTTTTTCTTTTTATTTATTATGTTATATTAGTTTTATTTCTAGTTCTGGAGATGTCGAACTCTACGTATTTGACTATGTTTAATTAATTAGTGATTGATTATTTGGTTATTTTTATGAAATTGCTTGTGTTATTTTGTTTGATCAACAATGATGTGTTTGATTTTATTTAGATTGATCACTTAGATAGAATTTTTCATGTCTAAAAATAGAATTGGACTTGCAATTCGTAATTGTTGTTGAGTTTAATTCGTAAGTAGCAACCGAAAGATGGTAATTGTCGAGGATAACACGACTTAATTAAGTGAACCACACGGTTGTGTTTACTACTTAGACTAGACTATTTGTCTATATCCTACAATGGCTATTGCATTAAATCTAGTCTAGACTCTCCAATAGGACAGGTTTAACCGAATAACGTTTCTCGGCTAAATAAACAATAAGGAAAAATTTGGGTAACAGAGTGTGTTGCTATCTAGGGCTAGTAATTTCAGAAGATTGTGAATCTTGATATCACAATTAGTTTGACTAGTTGAGCGAAGGTGTAGACGGAACCATGAACTAGAAAATTCTCTTAATTTATTTTATTTTATTTTTATTTCTTTTCTTTAGATTTTTTTAGGATTTTAGTTAGTTTAGTCATTAAATCTGATCACCCCTCTTTTATCGCTTTCATAATTTCCATTAATACGAAAAAATTCACAGTTTGATTCACACTTCTCGTGAAATTGACCCTTACTTACCGGTACTACTAGTTAGTAGAGGTTAGTCGAGGAAAAATATAAACTCAAATTTGTCGCATTGCGACGTGCGGTCAAATTTTGACGCCGTTGTCGGAGAGTGACGCAATTGAATTGTGATTTTTGAGTACTAATTGAGTTTTTTAGAATTTTATCTTTATTATCTTTTACTCTTCTTTTTTTCTTTGTTTATTTGTTGTTTTATGTATCGTATGTGTATTACAAATAAACAATAAGAAATTAATAATACATATACTTTAGTTGATTCTTTACAAAATATGTTGGTATAAATAACATATCCATATCCATATCCATATCCATATATAGATAATAAGGATAATCATTTATTAAAAATAGTAGTCAAAAGTTTTGGGAGCATTAAATGCATACTTTTTTGGAAACTTTTTAAATATATGCATTAATTGCTTTCATATACACATTTTCAAATAAGATTAAATCAGATATAATCAAAAATATTGTTTTCTTAAATAGTTTAATTAATATATGTAATAATTTCATTGATATCCGTTATAATAGATTACAAAATTGAGTTTTTGTGATTCATTTTGATAATATTTTGGTCAAGATAAATATTACAACATATTTTAAGTTTTAACCATTTATTATTTTTTTTCACAAAAATTTCACTTTTTATCCAAAAATAGTTATAGAAAATCGTAACAGGTTAGGTATATTTTTTTCTTTCAATTAATAAGGCGAAATCAAGTTGGTGAATAATCTTTTTCAATATAATTTTTTTCAGCTTTATTTCGTTATTTATAAAAAAAATACATTATTCTTCAAATTAATATAATTTACCATTTAAGAGATAATGACCAGATATATTAAATAGCATTACTATTGGTCAAAAATTAAAATTGTAATATATGAATTGTTCTTTAGAATTTATTTGTATACCATTGTCAACCATGATTATTTTTTTTATCATTTTGTTTATTTTGATTTCTTTCTATAATAAAATTCTTGCTAAACATATTATTGCAGAGTATGCTAAATAAACTATAAATCCTTATAATGCAAATTAGAAAAATCTTGATTATAGAAGGGATTGAGTTTTTGGCATTTGAATTAGTATACGAAATTAAATTCTAAAAAACATGTGTTTATATTTTGTAAAATATTTATACACTATTTAATTTTAAATTTATATACATATTTTAAATTGATTACATAAATAAATAAAACTAATGTGCGATAAATATTTTTTATTACATAAAACAAAAAAGAAAAAGAAGATGTACAATTTTTATAACTTTTATAAATAATAATGACAGTATATGACAAGAAAGTTTATAATAAAATAATAATTTAAGTATTATATGGTGAACAAGAATAAGTAAAACTGTTATTTTCTCTTATATCAAGGAATATACATATATATATATATATACTAAAATCAAATTTATTATTAGTATAAATGTATTAATGAGATAATATAATAATTATTTTACAAAGTAGCCAGAACATGTTCTGATTAAAAGAGGTGAAAAATAGATTATAACCCTATTGTTATTTTTAGAATTAACGTTGATTAAAAGAGATGGAAAATAAATGATAACCAATTGTTTCTTAGTCTTAAACGGACAGAGACTGTGAAAATAACTTATTTAATATCTCTATCCGTGCATCGCACGGGGTACATACTAGTGATTAAACATTAGTTAAACACAGTGTAATATTTTTATTCCTTTGCATTAAACATTAGTTAAACACATCACTGTTGAAGTGTATATTTTTATGTAAACTTAAGAGCAAATAAGAAAACTGGATCAAACAAACTGTTCCAACAGTGCATTTTGATATATTAACCTCGTGCAACAAAAAATCCAAAACAAGGTCACGGATATACANAAAAAACAAACAATTCAACAAAATGTAAGGCAAAAAGTACCGACATGGTTCAATTATTAATACATTAAGACAAACAGTCTCCGTGAAACGATAAACATATTCTAACTAACTGACATGAGTTTTGCACGCTCTACATTATCAAGCATCCCAAGAGAATCATCATCGCTCTCACACGACTTCTCTTGCTTCATACAACCATGTTGATAGAGCAAGTATCCACGTCGGGATCATAGTCGGTCGGGAGATCAAACTGAGTGATGAAATATTCAGCAAATGAGGCAACAAAACTCTGCAATCACTGGAAAAAAATAATAATAATAAAGTATAAAGCATGTTAAGACAATGTTAAAATTTACATGGAAAACTAAATAAATGATGATAAAAAAGTTAATAGAATTTACCCTCTCTCTTGCTGGGGAAGATTATGAGTCAAAATAACATCAAATGGATCATTCACTTCTTTCCCATCGAATGCTTCTCCGACCTGTTTGATGTCTGTCCTTTTGGAGTAGAACTGGACCATACCGAGAAAAATTGGGATGAGAGTAGAATAGCATATAACGCCATTGAAGACAATCTTTTCAAGAATGTAAGTAGATGAAATCTGAGGTCATTGCTGCCTCGGACCAGCAGAAGCCCTACACCGAGCAGCTTAGGAAGGATCTGCAATTCGAGGTAAGCGTTATGTTTTTCCTGAATGTCTCACCGATAAGGGGTGATCCGATTCGGGAAGAGAGGGATGTTGTAGTTGCGCTATTGATCCCTTTGAGATTTTAGACCAAGTTGGCGACCTAGCCTAATGGTTGGCTCGACCATTGTAGCTCTCAAGTGTGCAAGTTGTGTTGCATTATTGTGCCTATGAGATGGTTGCAATGTGCTAAGTCGCTCCTAAGATGGCTGAATGATCTGCATTGAGTTTAATTGCACTTATGAGATGGCTGCATTGAGACGAGTTGCGCCTATTTGATGACTGCATGACCAGATCATTGTGTTAGCATGTCTTGATGGGAGATATATGTTCATGACCCCCATGCATGTGGTGAACTTTAACGAGTTTCATGTTGGGCATGACCCTACCTAAGGGGAGGTATCGGTAGGTGCTTTGGACTGGAGAGTCCACCAGCTGAGAGACCAGGAGATGAAGCTTGACAAAATCTAGTAGAGCCGCCATGACGAGGATGATGCGACTTGGGAGAGCGAGGACGAGATCCGAATTGCGTGTTTTGAGTTGTCCTTTGTACCTTTGTTTTTATTTCCGAGGACATAAATCTTTTAAGGAGGGTAGATTGTATTGCCCTGTTCGATTATTAGGAGTCGTTGATTGATATATGCATGTGTGAATTTATTTTGCTTTGTGCATTATTTTTCTTGTTCGATTAATTTGGCTAAGTTGGTAATTTCAGCGAGATTAATTAGGTGTCCTCGTCTAATTGATCATTTGAGTTGAATAATTTTCGTAGATGTCCTCGCCTACCTAGATTATTCCAAATATTTTTTTTTTTCATTCACTAAGCGAAAATCGTTCAAACTCGTGATAAATCGTTCGTTTTCGAATTCAAGTTCAATCGACATGTGACCCCTTTACTTAGCCAAACCTTAGCCCACTTAGATTTAGCATTTTTTTTCGGCCCTTTTATGCCTCATGTTTGGCCCTTACTAATTGAAAATTTTAACCGCCCAAATGCTTGGAAACCCGACCTAAGCCATGTTCTTTTGGCTCCAAGTAAAATTTTGATTTTGAACTCAAGGCCATCCTATTTGGTAATAATTTTTCAGAAATCAATCCCCTCTTTAAACCATACTAAACACCTTCAATTTATGCCAATTTATGCCCTCTCATACACGTCTTTTAATCAGATCTGAAAATTTAGTCTGGAGTATCAACAAGAAAAATCTTTGAACAGATCGCCAAAACCCCATCAGAATCGGCCATCGTGAGGCGACCCACAGTAACACTCTCAGTCTCACAAGCCGCGACTAGCAGCACACACAATCCACAACCAACCACTGCACCCCGTGAACGCGTGCAGCAGCAGCCGAGTCCAAATCACCGGCGACCTATAGCCGCTGCTACCTCCCAGCCGCGAGACATCGCAGTGCCATTTCAAGTGACCAAGGGCAGCCATCACCGACAAGCACGTGCAACTGGAGCCTTAGTCGAGATCTGCCGTGCGCACACTAAACCGCAGCAGCAGAGACGAGCCATCCACGGCCAACCCAAACACTGCCGAACACACGAAGCACCCCATATGGCCGAGTTGCAGCCTCTCTACCGCCGACGTCCGCCTGTCGCACACCTTCAGCCATCGAGAAATCGCCGCCATCGTGTGCCTCTATCGCATCGCAACCATGCCAAGGAGAGACGAGCCACTTGTGGCCGATTCACCCACCACCGTGAACAGTCACGCACCAACGCGCTAGCCACCATCTATGCGCGAATAGTTGTAAGACTCCGACCCAACCGAGCGTCGTTCGCGATCTCGAACCTGCCGAGGAGATCTACATTGGGAGCAACCACACCGCAAGCCCCAACCAAGAGGCATCACAGCAGCTGGATCCGCAACACACGAGCCACCGTGAATTGAGGCGATGCTTCAGTGGGCCATCCTTTATGGCGAAAAAGTAATAGTAGACCTCCCGCATTCGAGCAACGAGGTCGAGCCCTCCTCGGTGAAAGCAATCAGGCAGCAGCGAGACCGGGGCAGACACGTGTGTGTCGCCGAGAAAGAGCGAGGCTTTGCGTGTCCGTACGCAAGCCTACCCGAGCGAACAACCGAGAGAAGGAACATCGTGTCGAGTCGCAATTTTCGATTTCCAACTCTTCGTTTGCTTGTACATTCTCGAAGAGAAATGAATCATCTTTTCCCTCTTTCATTTCATGCATCTTTTGAAGTGCGGATCATGAGATTGGAGTCTAGTTTTGTGTGATTAAAATTATGTAAAGTGTGAAATTTAGTGGGCTTGTGAACTCTCTTTAGTGCCTTGGGTTTCTATGTTGAAACCATTGGTTGTTGATGTTTCCGTGTTACTTTGATGCCTTGAAATTGTGTTGTGGACATGGAAAAAAATTTGAGAAAAACCATTCATGAGCCTTGTTGAGATCTTGAATTTTTGGTGAAATTCTTTATTGTGTAAAACCCCAAATTTTTCCTTGAGAATATTGTTGAAACCTTGAACCGAGAGCCAAATCCTGGCCGACTGTAGCCACGCGAGTGATGGCAGAGCATGCACGCCTGTGCTGAGAGACGCAAGGCCACGCGCAGGGCCGACCGTCGACTCGCACGAGAGTCGCAACTGCTATTACCGAACGCGCGAGCTCCCCAAGCCACCGAGTGCGGCTAGACCCCGACCTGCAGCAGGTCTCCGAGCAGGTGTGCGCGAGCAAGTCCCAGCGCCCCACGTCAACAGCGCCAGCGAGCGCGCCACCTCGCGGGTGACACCGCAGCCCATACTCAGACACGGCTAAGTCGAAGCGCAGCTAGCCGGCGGCTATGCCGAGGCGCGAAGGCAGCGAGCGCGTATGCGTCGTTCCAGTCGCAGCCTGCAACCGATGTCAGCACAGCCGAACTCGAGCCAGCGTTAGCCGTGAGTCTAACCCCGAGCCGTTGAAGCACTTTTTAGCTGTGTGAATTGTTTTTTGTGCGGAACCTTAAATTAGCTTCGTGAACCTTTTTCCGAGTCTTTTTCGAGAGTTTTGAGTTCCACTAAATTTAAGTTATTTACTACATTGAGTAATATTTTCGAGTTCCACTAAATTTAAGATATTCCACTAAAGTTTCGAGTTTCGAGTTCCACTAAATATTTTTTCGAGCCTAAAGTATTTACTATATTAAGCATAGTTTTTAAATCCGGCCCGAAAATCGACCCGGGCAGGTCTCCGGGTCACCGGTTCAACCGTCGGGTCACCGAGTCAATTGCTGAACTGGATAATTAATTTTAAAATTTTTAAAATTATATAGATAGTATTTTTAACATATAAATATACATAAAAGTAAAAAAATAAATGTTTTGTATTTAATTTTTAATAATATTGTATCTCACAATAAATATTTACTATATCATTATATTTACATAATTTTTATTTTTTATATAAAAAAATAAAAAATTTATAGAGACCGGGTCAACCGGGTTGACCGAGTCGACCGGGTCAATGTCGAGTTGGCCGGGTTCATTGTTACCCGGTCCAAATAGCCCACCCGGCCCAGGTTCGGCTCCGAGTCGACCGGGTCCCGGGTCGACCTGCCGGGCCGGTCCAGGTCAAAAAACAATGATATTAAGTAATATTTTTGTCCAAAATATTGAAAAATCCCGCCCAAATGAATGTACAGAATCATTTTGGTAAGATATTGTGGCTATTACCTTTATTAGTTGCATGATTTAAATTTGGAATATAATATATTGACAAAACTTACAGCTATTACCTTTATTAGTTGCATGGTTTATATTTATACTTATTATTCAAATAGGTTGTTAAATTTATGATAACATTTTACCAAAATAACTATTTTATTGAATCACATATAGTCAAATCGATTTTCTGAATAAAAATTTTGAAATGATACTTATTTTGAAACGAATATAATGTAATTTATTATCACTTATGTGCACTGCACGGGTTGTATACTAAATTTAAATAGACATTTTTATGTAATTTTACACAATTTAAACTTTATATAATATTTTCAATAAATTAATATAAATAATTGTATTACATATTGATTCCATATTTTAAATTTATATATATTATTTAATAAGAATTTTTAATTTATAAATATTAAAAAATATCCTTTATCCGTACACTGCTCGGGACTCATACTAGTATAAGGGAAGTGAGAATGGTGAGTTGCAATGCCTTTTTTTTTTTACCTGACATAATTGGAATTATTAAGTTCAAATAAAGTTGACACGTCATGCCATGTCAGATTAAATATCGGGTACAAAAATGAATCAAAACTAAATTATACGACTAATTTTGAATTTTTGCCCAGAAATGATTAGGTGATGAAGTTTCTTTAACAAAGGCCAATGGTAGTCACATGTCATTTGTCCAATTATGTTGGTAGTTTTGCCGACAAATGATTAGCTGATTAACTGGATACAAAATTTCTCAAAAAATTCCAAACATTTTTAACTCAATCAATTTTTTAACTCAACTTTAACTCAATCCTACTATCATCAATATAATTAAATAATATCAATCAATCATTCTTACACACCATCTTACCTTAATTTACTATTCATCCACTCACATAATTTTAACTAACCATCACTTCAAATCTTCTCTCTCCTACTTTACATCAAATCAACTTTAATTATTTTATTTTAAATATTATTATAATATACCCACTAACAACTGACCATACCAACTTTTTCAAAATTAACCAAACCAAACAAAACCAAAAATTTTTTATATCCAATCATCCTCTTAGTTTCTTTAACTAAGGCCAATGGTAGTCACATGTTATTAGGCCAATTATAACTACCACCATTACTTCTGTTAGATGTTAGTCAATTATGGTAACTACCACGACGACTATTGTTAAATGGGAGTCGTATCATTTGGCCAATTCTGGTAACTATGACTTTCTCAGTACCAACTTTATCGAGCTCACACAGAGAGTATATTACAGCTACATATCACAACTTATACACTATCCCAAAATCCAGCGCCAGCAAAATTTGTCTGCATCTCTTCATCACCTAAAAAATGGACAGCCCTGCGATTGAATTGGGTAAAACTGCCGGAAAGCCAATAAGATGCCGAGGTAACTTTCAAATTTTAACTGATGGCAGCGTATATATGTCTTCTCTCCGTTTGTTAATTAAAAACGTGGCTTTATTTGCCTTTTTTGCAGCGGCGGTGGCTAGGAAAGCCGGCGAGCCTCTTGTGATAGAGGAAGTAATTGTGGAAACCCCTAAGTCGGAGGAAGTTCGCATAAGAATCATATGTACCTCTCTCTGCTACAGCGATGTCAGTTTCTGGAAATTGAAAGTACGCATAACCCTTTTGTCCAATTGGTTTTTGGATTTGTAATGTTACATATTAATGTTATTATTGTTATTACAAATACAATTACGTTTGCCCCTTTTGAAGGATCCTCCGGGTTATTTTCCAAGAATTTTGGGCCATGAAGCTGTCGGGTAACGCTTCACTTGTTCTGTTTTACTATATAGAAAGCCAATTGTTTCATATCTTTGAGGTGTTTAGTTAAAGGTTCAAACTTTGGAAATGAAGATGGAATTTTTAAGTTCCAATTATACGGAAAAAAATATTTTTTTTATTGTCTCTTTGGTGGTTGTGAATGCTTTTGTGTGAGCATGAACTATGCCAACTAATTTTAGGAATCCCAAAAGAAAGATTAGTTTCCAAGTTTTATGGGAGACTTTGCAAGCAAACACTACACATAAATGGAGGAAAATGACTAGGAAAAAAGAAAAGTGATTCTCTGCTTTTTATGGAAAATAACTCATTAACCCCTTGCTCCTGCGCCCACCCCATCAGGTCTTGAATTTTTTCTTTCTTTCCATTTTCGGTTAGAGTTGGCCTAAATCTCATGTGTGTGAACATTTCACTAGGAATTTCCATATTTTGGCAATCAATGAATGAATTCAACTGTTTTCCTTTCTTTTCCTATTTTTAAAGTTAAACTTATGCCTATTTCATGACCCGAATTTCCAGGCCTTATGTTACTTCCTTAAGGTCTGTCTATGCGTTCTTTGTTTATACGGCTTTCTCTTAATAGTGTTGTCGAGAGCATTGGGGATGGCGTAAAAGGCCTTGTCGAGGGTGATGTGGTCCTTCCAGTATTTTTGCCGGATTGTGAAGAATGTATCGATTGCACCTCCAAAAAGAGCAACCTTTGTTCAAGATTCCAGTTCAAGGTCTCTCCTTGGATGCACGACGGATCTAGCAGATTCACTGACCTAAATGGACAGCCTTTGTACCATTTTCTATTTACATCTACTTTTACAGAGTACACAGTTGTGCATGTTGCAAATGTAACCAAAATTGATCCCACTATGCCCCCGAACAGGGCTTGCCTTTTGAGTTGCGGAGCCTCCACAGGTACAACTACTGGACCTCTGCCTATGATGTCATTGTTCTTTTTTTCTTTTTTTTTTTTCNTAATCAATATATCCCTTTTATATTCATATTAGAAGATCTTATTATGTACTTATTTCTGCGTAACATGATGCACATGCCATTGGAGAATGGAGAATAAATCCTAATTTTTTTTTCTTGTATACTAAAAGAGAGGATAGGTGATCTATATGTTACATGATATATAGTTAGTTAAGGTTAGGAAAGGACTACTCCTTACTCTATTCCTCTATGAATCGGAATACTTTTGGAGAGAAAAATCCACCTACAAGTTACAATTTTACTTCATTTGGAGCCGACAACGAGACCTTTTATAAGTTGATTGATACGGCTATTCTTTTTATTGAGTCTCAACTATTTTCGAGTAATATAGCATTGATAGATTTGGTTCTTGGAGAAAACATGAATAACTTTGGCTTTATTACGTGTTAATAATTCTTCAGGAGTGGGAGCTGCATGGAGGTCTGCAAATGTTGAAGCAGGATCCACTGTAGCCATCTTTGGTCTCGGCTCAATAGGATTGGCTGTGAGAATACCTAGTTAGCTTTATCCTTTTTTATTTGTTTTTATTTCATATTGTATTTTTTTGTTATGCAACGAATGATGTGTTGTTTCTTTGAAGGTTGCTGAAGGGGCAAGATTATGCGGTGCTGCAAAAATCATTGGCATTGATGTGAACCCTGAAAAATTTGAAATAAGTTCGTCCATGCTAATTATACTTTAGTTTGAACACAGTTGACCTTGTGAAGGGAGATAGGCTTTTATCGGTATTTTCTGTCTGTAGAAATGCATCAGTTCTTATTAGACATTATCCCGAGAAACACAAAATAATATACTTCTTAGTTAGCTGCTAGATATCTGCAGTTGTTTGTGGTAATTGTATATGTTAATCACTTATTTCAAAAAGATGATCCCTTTAACATGTAAAATGTACTTTTTCTTTAACCTTGATAGGTAAAGCCTTTGGTGTAACTGATTTTGTTGACTCGAGGAGCTGTGGTGAAAAACGTTTGAGCGAGGTAGTTTTTTCCCTTGACTGCTGACTATTTCTGTGTATTGCCTCTGGTAAAAATGATATTATTAGAATTGATT